TTGTAGGGGCATATTGAATATGACATGAACTGTTCATTGACGTGAGGTCAATGCTTTACTTTTTCAGTCAATACTGGAACCAATTTGGTTTCCCCAAGGGGCAGACTTCTTTGTTGGCCTGGGTGCGAGCGAGCCGATACGGGATTTGCTCCCTGGATCGCGATACGTGCATGTTTCCTAGCACAGACTGTTGGACATAAAATTCCGGGTTAGTTAGGCTCATATTTGCTCAGAAAAGTGAATGATCGTTTCTCTCGTCTTATAGACTCCCTGTAATGAACCCCACGTTCCAGAACATATATATGTTCACCGCGAATTCACCCTATTTCTTTCTTAATTTACTTTCAGCTTTTCATTCCTTCAAGACAAATCCAAATGTCTCGACGAGCCCACAGGGATGAATTTTGCGCGTTTTTCCTCGTGAGTTCACAATCACGAGCGCTATGATCTTAGCTGTAACTCTCGCGCCCCCCCCCCTTCCCCCAAACACCCTCAAAGCGAGCATTCTACAAGCCATTCTATCTTCCCAGTGCAATAGACTTAAAAAAATACGACATTCGTGCTCCTGTACGCTCATTTGCCAAACTTCAGAACACAGGATTCAGCCAAGCAGTAAACGAAAGGAAAACGATGCGCACTTTCTCATTTGCTCCGTCTGCTTTCCTTGCTGATCAACCTCCCATTGCATGAAATCTGTCTTTTTCAGCAATTTCTTCTCGTGTAGTTTGAGTTTACGAACCATTTTTGATGTATGCTTGTGGGATACCTTTAATGGTAACAATTGAGACTGATTTGCTTTGCGAATGAAAAGAGTATAGGCCTCGTACCAACACTTACACATACACCATATGAAAAAAGTGTTTATGCGTACAATAACGGCTTCATCTAATAATCAGCTATTAAAATCAGGAACTATCGAGTAGCAGTTTAAAGAACCTTACCCGAAAAGGCAAAGAGCATCCCTTCAACTATTGATAAAGTAGAGTTCTTGTTCATGGCTGCAATTTGGATAAAAAGAACTAGGCGAACTTTAAAGAAAGACTAATGCGAACTTCACGACCAAATGTGGCATCCTACTGGCTTCTACAAAGCTCCCTAGAACACATCTCGATTTAAAACATAACATTATTCGGATAATGATCAACTATACCCGAATAAATAATAGCAAAATTTGCGATAATGTTGAATGGAAAATGGTGCACAAAGAGAAAAAAGGAAGGGAATCTAAAAAAAATCACAAATTCAGCGTCGACGAGTAATTACCACATAAAAGAAGACTGACTAAAAGCCGGGAGGAAGGAAGCAGAAGAAGAAATTTTTCTTCAAGTATGAGTAACTGTTATTTACATCAATGAGAGCACATAGAATTTCCTGGAGCGGAAGGCCAACGATTCTGAAAATGGCAATTTTAGCTTACAGAACATCAAGGACGCACAGCAAAAACCGTGACGTTCCGTTCATACTTTGCGTTTTGGGTGTACGGCAGCGTTTTGAGTGACTAGAAAAACAGTGGCATGGAATTAGCGTTCAGAGCGTACGCCAGTCTTCTGAACTTTCGCGAGCAGTTGCTAAAGATGCTGGTGTATGCTTAGACGTAAGTTCGACGCCTTTACTTCCCTGGTCGCTCAACACGCTGCCGCGCGCTGGCATACGCTTAAGACGGTGACGCAGAGTATGACCACAGCCTGCTAAGAGCACAACCCTATACCATACCTATATCCGTCGCACTTTCTTGATGAGCGTGGAAGGGGAAGTGGGCGATCGCTGACGCTGTCGCTTTCGATGGCGCTGAACCTGCGAGGATAGGAATGCATTGAGATCTGGCCCCCTCTGTGGCGAAGCTGATGCTGCAGGAGACAGTGCCTGAAATGTTGAAATTCAGTTCCGAACTTCCACATTATAGGCAAAACTACTTAGTTCCTTAGAAAGTAGTGCCAATGCAGCCATAGCATTTTTGGGCACAGTTTGACGACGGGAGGGTGGGAGGACTTCACAATTTGCTAATTCCAGTGGCTTGACTCTAACATGAGTCCACAGGTTTCACCTTAACTGTGAATCGAAACCAGAAGCAACGAAAATGCAAAATGTCCCTTCACCGTCACCGAACTGCGTCTTCTTTTAGAGAGAAGAAAAAAAAGCCTCTGCGAAGAAAAGAAAAGGACTGCGCTAAGTCGCTAACTAATGTTGGTTAGTAGCGGCATTCGTGAAGGAAACGTTACATACGTCACGTCATTCAGCGACGAAATTTGTCATGAGAATTAGGGGTGACAATTTATGGCCAATTTCCTGACTAATCAGCACGTCGATCCCCTCTGAAGAATCTCTGAAACTCTCCGATCGCTTAGTGAGGGGCTCCGCCGATCCATGAACCCAGATCCTAAGTTCGGGGCTCACTCTAAGAATCTTCCGCAAGCCCTTCATACAAACGACTTGAGCCTGGATGACTAGCCCTCTTTCCCATCTTCCACTTCACCCACAAGGATCTTTTTCAATCGTCTCAGCCTCCTACCACTTTCCCGGAGTTTTTTTCTTTTCAAAACTATGTTTGTTTCATCCGGCAAGAAAAGTCAAAACTTCTAAAATGGAATAAAGATAACCTGCTGAAAAAGATGTACAGCTGCAAGAGTGTCCGAGGACACAACAGGCGGTGGACCCATACGTTGACCATCGTCAGTAGAAGACATACGAACATTTGCATAAAGCATTTCGAATAGACTATTTAAATCAGTTGCTGATCCGCTGGTCAAAGCAGTCATCACCTCCTTAACAGCATTGTGAAAAACAATAAATAACTGGTAACACTAATCAAAGACCACCTTTGCCAAACTGATGCGGCCAGCTCGGAAACCCTTCTCAAATCCACGTCGATGCACGTCAATAGAACTCTTAAAGTTAGGATTCGAAAATAGCATTACTTTGGGTATACTTTGGGTACAAGAGATGAAGCTCGATTAATTCCGGTGTTGAAACTAACTTTATAGAGTTGTGTTGTA